ATGAATTGGCTTCAATTGAAGCGGTCAATTCAAGAAGGATACAAGTCCATAGATATATGTTTTGCAATTAAAATGCTACATCCAAAATATTTCATATTGAATTTTACCCAGTGGCTCACAGTTAAACTCTCATACAGGATTTCTATCCTACAAAATCAGCCCAGTAGATCAAATATCAATACAGTTGTAACTGTAAAAAGTCTCCAGATCTTATGTTACATGCAAGTTTTGGTCAATGTTAATACATTTTTGATTCAACATTAAGAACTTTTATTCAAGATATTGTTATGCAAAATGTGTTTTATGGTTGTTGTGATTCTTCCAAAGATTATAAATTTAATGAAACTGATCAACATGTTGATGATGAGTTATCTAATTCTGTATATATAGAAAATACAGTAGAGCGTCGATTTTCCGAAAGTCAATCATCCGAAAGAATTCCAGTCGGCAAATTTAAATTTTCGCCAGTGCTGTGGCGCTTCAATCTTTGGCTATGTCTTGGGCTACTCAAACATTTTACGTTTTTGATACTAAATTAACATCTGAAGTATAATTTTTTATTATTTTTATATTTTTCAATATATTTATTTTGTTTGTACAAAACAAAGAAATAATTTTTAACGATACAATAGTCTTCGTTAGGCTTAACATCGACGAAAATTCAACGCGAAGCGACACGCAACGGATAAAAATTTCGACATCGGATACGTTAAACTATTTTTTCGTACGTAAATCAGTTATCCGGACAACCCTAGTCCCCAATTGATTCGGAAAATCGACGCTCTACTGTAATTGCAAAAAAAAGAGAGAGACCTTAATAATGTTATACTAAACATGTAAATAGGCTCTCTTAGTGCCTTTATTTATTTATTCATTGAGTGTTATTAAGTAGAAAATATAAATACAGAGAATTTTTTAACCTGTTGATTTGTAATAAAAAGAAAAACAAGGTTTTATAAGAATGCATTGAAGACAATAAAAACACATTGAACAGGAAGACTTTCTTATTTGAAAATGTGGCATTATCTTCTGTACAGTAGAATATTATATGTCCATGGACTTTATCCTTCTTGCCCTGACATATACTCATATTCTACACTCATAAACTTTCAACGCTTGTGACAGTCCACAATTAGACATGATGCATATTTGTATGGATGGATGGAGATGCTTGCACAGAGAACAAAACTGCTGATAACTGAAGAATCAATCATTTGTGGACTTATATTCCTCTTGCACTGACCTCTTCAATTTTATTTCCATTAATCAATGTATTACATTACATTTACAATTTGTATGCTATCCTTTGAGGATGACACATGCTTACATCAAAGCATTCTTTTAATTTAAAAATTGTTTATGTTAATTTATTGGTTTAGTATTATGCATCAAACTGAACAGTATTTCTATTTAATTCTTTGTATGGTTTAATTTGAATTTTTCAAACTATGTAGTAGTAATTATTAATTGGTTTATAAATTTGATTTTGTACACTAGCATGCAATAATTTTTGGTGAAATTTTGAGTCCTGAAAATGTAAAGTACTATATTTAGTTTGTTGCTCTACAACGAATTTTTCTTAAAGAGCCGGGACCTAACGGGTACTTTACGCGGGTTCGCATTTATTAGTTGCCAGGCTTGGACTTTTAGCGTGCACCGAAATAAATTAAGGACAAAGTTAGTCACAAAAAAAATCTCAATAATAAATGTTTAATCAAGTCTAACAAATGCTATGTACAAGTTTTATAAACAAACAACAAATTTATTAAATAAAAAATCAAATCACAATCAACCCGACAAACTTAAGTCTTATTCTAACTTAAAACTATTCCCCTTGGAATTCTAACAAAACAAAATTCAACTCTTAACTTAGATACAAATTCTCTTATAACTATCAATCCTAACCGTCACCTCAATTAATACTGGGAACCTTTTCCTCTACTCAAGACTTTCCTCTTTTCAACTCATCAAACTCGAACCTTCAATCTCCTACTAGGATTTCCTATTCGACACCTTGTTCACTGCTACCAGCAGACCAACGCTTTCGGTTCAGGAGCTCACCTCGTCTGTCTTCACTTGAGCTACTGTACTTATAGTCTGAGGTGACGTCACAGTTCTAATTGAGACACTCCCCTCATTTACATATCTACACGTAACATTCTTGTTTTCTCTTCATTATCTGGTAGCTTATTTCTCGACAATACTTTGTTAACCTTTTACAGCATTTCTTTAACAATTATCGGGATGTTTAGTTGAAGGTTACACAAGTTCCTAAAAAGTCTATTGGGGTGTCCCCCCCTTCAGTGCGGACTTACAATTCTGCCGCTCAGGCATGCACGTGAGTGCGAATGCTAGCTATGGCGCTGTCGTTTTGTCATCAGTGAGTTGGTTAATCTATTATCTTCTCGTTTTGAACGTTCTGGGGTGATGGGTGAGGAAACCTTCATCCTAACTAAACATAAGCCCCAAACAAAAATATAATAAAAGCAAAAATAAAAGTAAAATAAAAATAAAGCTCGGACTTGGTTTCTTACAAAAATATTCTGCACCTCTGGTCAACATGACCTTTTCTGCTGAATGTTGTGTTTTAAATTTTTTTAGTTGTGATGACTTCTTTTTAAGTATTCTTCAGACTGCTTTTTGCTCTCGGGGTCATAGTGGTTGACCCATGATTCAGTCTCCATTTGCTAAATTGTCCCAAAAAGTTAAACCTTTAGCCTCAGCTTTTTTAAAAGTTCTTTTTAAATTGAAGCTGGTTCAGCCTTCATCTCATTTGGCACATACTTTATGAAATCCAAGAACACTGACTATGTGGCCTACTTGTTCTTTTGAAACACATAATTTTGAGATGACTTTCTTGTTTGATGCAGCAATTTTTACAGATAATTTCTTCCATTCTCTGTTGATGGACCCATCTCTGATGGAGTTAATTCTCTTTTTCCTGCTTACTTGCCTTTAAATTTTAATAATCAACATCTCACAATTTTCAATTTGACACTACTCTCCATAAACAGCTTTCATCTTTCAATGAATGGCAATTTATGCTACATTTTCAATTGTAAGAAATTTAAGAAAGTTGTAAGAAAGCTTACTGCTTAAAATGCATGTTTTGATTAGATACCATTTTAATTTGAACTGCCATCTGGTGTTTTAACTGCAAATAATCATTTATAGCAGAAATAACGCATCAGGGACAAAACTTTTCAGCCAATCCTTACATTTATCATTTTTAAGAAAATTACTTTTAATATTTTACATTAGTATCTTATAATTGTTTCAGTAATACTACATACATATATATATATATATATATTTTTATTTCAAAATATTTTTNGGTTGTAACTGACTGGGATCCATATTATTATTATTATTTTGTATTGAATGAAATATATAATACCACAAATAAAATATTTATTAAATATATATCAGTACAGCTTTTATATACTAAAAATGAAAAATACTGTTGTAGAAGATGAAATGGCTCAAATTACCTTTGTAAAATAATAATCATTACAAAATTATTAATTTTGTAATGATTAATTTTATGATTTTAATCATTTTTAAATTAATTTCCCAATTTTAAACATTAAAAAAATTTTACCACAAAAAAAAAGTAATAATAACTTTAATAAAAATTAAAATGTGAATTATATTTTTTTAAAATGAATTATAAAATGAATTATGAATTATAATTATGAATTATAAAATTATAAAATGAATTATAATTCACAGATGATATAATTGTATATCATCTTATCATTATTAGACATTACATATTTATTTATACCGTATTATTCAAATATATTTAAAATTTTTATTTTTAATATTAATAACAAATTAATATTAGGTGACAATCTTAATATTTTTAATTAAGCTTAATGACTCATTAATTTTGATTATTTATTTTATTTATAAATTTATTTTTAAAAACTTTATATGTCTTAATGTAATGTAATATTTAATATTATTTTTTATTATAAATTATTCTAACTTTTTATTAGTTTTTATTGTATAAATGTGATTTCTGATTATATTCTCATCAAAATTATAGTTGTAAAATAAGTTTTTGAATGAATAACTAATATTTAGTTTTTTTCCTCTCTCTAATTAAGCACATTTATTCTCAACACTTATCTAGTTTATTCATAAAAGAAATTTATTTTAAGTTTTTAAATTTATGAAAACTTGATGCAGTTTTTCAGCACAGTATTAAGATATGTTTTATTCAATCCAACACTTCATTTTAGAAAACTTTACATAAATGAAGTTTTATTGTATTATAATTATAATTTTAAAATAATATAGGTCACATATTCTTTAAGATTATGTGACTGATATGTTCACCCATTTTTCCTGAAGACAAGAGTAACAATTATGATGCTTCAAGGCATCTGTTGACCCTCTTTTAATTGGAACCTAATTCTGATTAGTTAAACAGTCATATTCATTTTTCATCAGTTTTATTATTGCTTTTTTGTTAAAGGTGTTATTGATTACATAATATAAGAATTAATTTTGTGCATGCAGTGTTTATATGTAATTTTTTATTAATTAGTAATATTACAACATTGTTTACATTGCCTGAATTCATAAAAGGTAATAAAATTTTAACCTAGAACTTTGATTTAATTAGATTTGATTAAATTTTATGCTTAATGTTTGATGTGTTTGATATAATTTTATTATTTAAATTGCAGTTAAAATTAATTTTTTATTGTGATTAGCAATGCTTACTTATTTGTTGCATTGTTCTATGTGTAATAATTTTATTTCATCAAATTTAGCAATATTATTTTATATGTTATATAGTGTGTTGCATATTTATTTTATGCTAGTTTGCTTTTGTGATATAACTTATGTATTTTTTATTTCTGATTGCCCTTCAAAAAATTTTAAAACCCTACTAAAATATTACCAGAGTTGGGCACTATTTGAACTCTGTTCCTCTCTGTCAAGCACTAGAAAACCTAGAAATTTCAATTGCCCATCTCTTGTCACAGGATTACAATAATGGGTTGTTATGGAGGGAGGAAAAGGACTTGAAGAAGGCACTGTATGCATCTCTTCAGGAAGGTAAGCGGAGGGCGATGGATGGAGAAGTGAATGGTGAACAAAAGGATGATATTAAGGATGATGGGAAAACGAGAAGAGGTTTAGCAGGTGGACATTTGAATTCTAAAAACAATCAAGAAGCAAGTCCTAAAAGGTTAATAATTATTATTATTATATTTTATTCTTACAATTATAAACATTTTTACTTTTTGAAACTATAACATTTAAAAATTTATTTTTTTATCTTTTAGAGCACGTGTTCATGCTCAAAGAAAATTTGCACAAGGATCTACTCCTAATAGTCCTGCCCCAACACCAGTTAAAATATGTTCAGGAAACAGTATTGCCACTGATTTATTACCATGTCGTCGTCCAAAAACAGAAGATTTCTTAACATTTTTATGTTTAAGAGGTAAATCCACACTACCCAACTAGATTAAAGTTAATTATGTACCTCAAAGCCTGTTACTGGTGTGAAATTAACATTAAAAAAAAAAAAAAAAAACAGATTTCCACAAACATTTTCGAACCTCCAATGGTTCTTCTTCAGGTGGCGATGAATTTCTGTTAGAATGACATTAAATAAGAACATTATTCGAAATTCGAATATACGTTACCCGATGACGTCTCATTAGGCATACGCACTATAGATGGTAGAAATTGACGAGAATTTATAGTTCTTTGTTCATTATAGTGCTTGCCATGCTATGGACAGATTTAATTCCTCTTTGTGGTTGATACAGTTGTTGTTAAGGCTAGATTTGTAGTTATATAAGACCTCCAACCACCTTAGATGTTCCATGTATGGTGAGGTGAGGATAATTCTCGCCTGGTTAAAATTCAGCTCTATGTCAGGATCACTGGCTTAAGTGGCAAGCGCAGTGGTGTTCCTGATGTGCTGTATGTCCACATGTCTTTCATTCTGATCCCCATCCCCAAGGAGCGCGTTCTAGAGCCAATGTAAATAAATTCTCTATCACATCTGTAATCTTTAATTGGGATGCTGTAGACTTCAGGGAGTCTGTCCTGGCTAGGAACATCCTTTCTGTTACAAAGGATGTCAAATATGGTTGGACATCTTCCGTAAGGGATGCAAATGTGGTGCTTTTTAGCTATCTCTGTGTATATTGATTTGAGATATGGGTTGTAACTGACTGGGATCCTTTCATCATCATCAGGTCAGTCTTCGTCATGGGAGTGCTTCTTTGGAGCAACGAAAACTGTCAATTAATTTACAGGTGATCTTGGGGTACCCATGGTCCATGGCTATGCAATGAGTATGTCTCAGTTTGGCATGTAGAGCTTGCTGAGTGGACAAGTGAATGTGCACTCTTCTAATTAAGGCATTATAGGCTGCAATTTTATATTGATATGGATCACAAGACCCCACTGGTATGTATATGGATTCTGCTCCCGATTTATGGTACACCTCGGTATGGATTGCCGATCCTTCAATTCTAATGCTAATGTTGAGGAAATGGACCTCCATAGGGTGCGCTTGATCAATTTCAATGATCAAACCATATGAATTGTCTTTAATGGAATCGACAAAGACTGAGATGTCTGGAGATGCCCTCCATAGAATGATTATGTCATCTATGTACTGTACCTCTTATATAAAATGATGTTGGGGAGGTGGCGAAGGAGGATCTTGCATTCTAGTTGTTTTCTTACCATCTCACACAAGTTTCCTGAGATGGGGCTTCCCATCGGGACTCTTCTTCTTTGTTCATATATTGTACCATTGAATTGAAAAAAAAACAAATTATAGCATAATAAATGTGCCATCTCTAGGACTTGCTGATGCAAGCTTTCATCATTCACAATGCTGAATAGGATATCTCTGAGGGTACAAAAGGTAGGTGGGAGTTGAATTGACGGGTATAGGGACTTAAAGTCCAATACCGTGAGAAATTGTGGAGGGGAGGTGATCTCCTTGAGGAGGGTTATGAGGTCCACATGGTTATTTATAGTATAAGTGTACCCCTCTAAGGCCGAGACTCCACTGGCATAAAAACAGGTGTAAAAACCTTCGCCATAAAAACTTTTAATCACGTGACCTATTTGCAATTGCATCTGGATTGCAGTGGAGGTCTGGCTAGCAAAGTTTTTACGGCAACGGTGCTGCCCCAAGTGTCAAAAGTAAATACTTCTTCACATGTGAATTGGTGGAAACGGAAGATGGTTGTATACATGAGATATCGATATAAAGACAATGATTATATTCTACAAGTTTTTTCTGTTCTACAATTACAAATGTAGTAAAAATAATATCTTTACTTTCATATATTAACTTTTATTATTGTATTATTAAGATAATATACAGCACTTATAAACTTAGCTTTTTTATTATATACCCCTCTAAATTGAAGGNATACGTGATATATCAATATAAAGACAATGATTATATTCTACAAGTTTTTTCTGTACTATAATTAGAAATGTAGTAAAAATAATATCTTTACTTTCATATATTAAGTTTTATTATTGTATTATTAAGATAATATACAGCACTTATAAACTTAGCTTTTTTATTATATACCCCTCTAAATTAAAGGATTTTTCTTTGGTCGTCCATATCACGTGTTTTAGGCATCCATTATTATAATTGGGATACTTCTTGTCTTAGATACATGAATACTTTCAGACGTTTTCAATAAATCTTTCCAGAACTATTCTAGACAAGCCACAAGAGAACATACACAAAAGCTCGTTTCTGACATTTTCGCACCGTGTCACAATGATCTTAATTTCACTGACTTCTGATTGGTGGATGGTACCGTTTTACAGCCGTATTCACGTTGAAAGTGTAATACTGCTCAACTCACTTTTACACTGGTTTTACAATCTGCTCAGGTGTAAAATATCATGGTCACGTGATTAAAAGCTTTTACGGCAAAGGGTTTTACGCTAGTGGAGTCTCGGCCTTAGTGTGAAGAGAGTAACTTGTGGGTGAGCTTCTCAAGCTTACATGTTGGTGCCCTAGCTTTATCAACAATAGGGCATAGTTGTTGTCCCTGTTTATGAGTCTTAGCAAACGCAAAATAGAGTGTATCAGGAAACTCGGCCAGGTATTTCCTATTGCTAGGTGTTTAGCCAATTTGGTAGTGGTGAACCTCTTAACCTTCACTGTAACCTGTCTACTGTATTACTGTCCATGCTCTCACATTATGTTGAATTGACATACTCTAATAACAACCAATTGTATGTAGTGCATCTCATGAGGATGAGAAACTTGGTCTTATCGGCCCTGACCAACATCACCCCATTTAGCTGCATCCAATGGTTTGTGTGTCATAATTTTGTTCTCAACTTCATTATTTTATAAGGCTCCTTTGTATTTTTAATTCTGTGCATGGCCATCCACTGGTAATATTCCTTTCATGTGTCTGGTAGGCCTATCAGTAGAGTCTCCAAATCCGGGATGAGATTCAAATTCATGGTCATAGGAGGGGGTGCAAACTTAGGTCCATAACTTAAAACTTCTACTACGAAGTCAGATAATTACAAGTCATCCCATACAATAAATGGGAATGTAGGGTGTTCATGACCTTTAGGCACATTTAAAGAGGTAATTTTCTTTTAATATTTTTTCATTGAATACAGTAATCACTCAGTTAATACAGTTATGTATCTTCTGAGAATGGCACACTAATCAAAATCATGTTAATTGAATAATATAATCAATGTTTATTAATTGAATTAATCTCAAGACTTTCAAAATGTTTACTAATGATTTTACCACTACATAACAATGGATGATTAGTGGCAACACAAATGATTTAATTCTATAATCAAAGGTTACCAGATGTCTTATAACTGATATTTTAATTTGGCGATACTAATAATTAAATGATTAGATTATTTAATTAATGAATTTTTAAAAATTTGGGTTTCTTTAAATTATGACATCTCTCCTTACATATTAAAAAACTGTGAAATTAGAGCCCTGTGATTAATTTTTATTTAATCTGATGAATTAGAAATTTCAGCTTATTTATCATGAAAATATTCATGAAGATTTTATAAAATTTTATATTGTTAAAAATTGATAAATTCACAAAATGTAGCTTACTGTTTCTCCATGCCAATCAATTTTACTTTCCCAGCTGTTTTGTATACATAAGAAGGGAAAGTATTGGAATTGTGTCAAATTTGTCCCTCTAAATTTTTTTCAGATTTCTACATTTTGAGACCTCATGAATCCAAAACAGTCAAAAAGATGACAAAAAAAATTCTGTGGATATGTATGTCTGTGTGTATGTGTGTTGGTGTCTATTTCACTTAATATCTCAGAGTGGGGTAAAGATTAAGTAACAAAATTTAGCGTGGTGGCTTGTATATGAGGAGCATTGATGCTATTAAATTTTGGTGGTTAAAGGTTGAGGGGGTGGTGAGATAAAGAAAATTGTGTGTATCTTCAGTAGGACCAGACTTAATTTAATGATGATTTTATTTGTTATTAACATTTATACTTTTTTTATAAAACTCATCCCTACCCTCAAAATTAAGCTTTTTGCCATTTTATAATAGTTAAAAAATATAAAAAGTTTTTATAACAAAAGCTCATAACAAATGGTGCCACATGTGATTTTATTAATTTAAATTGTAATTAAAATTATAAAAGTTATTTTTTTAAATACAATTTCATAATAGCCAGGAAAGTTATTTAACTCATTGCTAGATTTTTCTACAGCTGAGTAATTTCCATACAAATAGTTTAGAAAAATTTGGCTATAAATTTTGTCAGATGTGATCCTGTTTGTTATGCGTGCATTGTCACTTAAGCTGTTTGTTTAATGTGTGCTAATAATTTAAAAATAAGAATCTACTCTCAAAAAACTACATTAATTGAAGGATTACTGTAATAGAAGTTATAAAATTAAATTCAGCTATAAAATATATAATAATATGAATGAAAGTAATCCATATTATATATGTAGAACTGAAAAAAATTATTTGAAGAGCAATAAATTTAACTAATTAAATGGACTTAATAAATATAGAAATAATTGATTTAAGTAAGTTATGTTGTATATTTTGCAATGATCACCAGCTTAAATGTAAACGATACACTTAATTACAATATTAATCAAATTATGTTAGTAATGATAAAAAAGTAATAGATGTATTTAAAAAAACCTTGTTTAATAATTAGTATTTTAGAAGCAACCAACTTTTAAATAATTAAGAAATTGGCAAAGTTCATTATCAGCAATAGAAATAATTATCAAAATGGCTTTTAGTAATCATAGTGTTATGAAATTAATCCACTAGTATATAATACACTCGATTAAAAACATCTTGTAAACTCCAGCAGTAAATTTATTAAAACAAAAGCGTTTTCAATCCAATTAATGGCTCTGCTTCAGTTATCAGTCTGAATAACTTGAATGATTCTATTCAAATGTATTCAAGATTTGAAAAGAAAAATGAATGATAACAGTTTAATACATGATTACAATATAATATTATTACAGAATAAATTAATAATAAAATTAAACATTTAAACAATATATAAATATAAAGAAAAAATGGTAAATAAAATTAACTTATAGAATATATGTGGAATGAAGACTTTAAGGGTTAAAAGCCATATAGGAATCTGCATTATGGTAATTATTACATCTCTGTGCTAAATTTCCCTTGTAGTTTTCTAAGACTTCAAGAGTGTTTTAAATTGTGGATTTCAGTTATTGGTCATATTATTTTAGTATCATCTTATACTTCAATATCAGTTTCCATTGATTATGCAGAAAGAGCTTTGTTGAGATTCTTCATAGTGGATCCAGTGTATTTTACCTGCTTGTTGTACTGTTGTCACTTAAAGGTATAGAACCATGGTTCCCAATTAGTGGTATGCGTACCCCTGAGGTACGCAAAATTGCATGAAGGGGTACGCATGGCAATCGAAAATCGGTCGATTTAAAATTTAAATGCATGAGATGAAGCAATCAAAAAAGTAATGGGTGGACCATCAAAAATTCGACAATTTACAACATGATGTCGAATGCACAGATTCATTTATTTATAACTAAAAATATTTTCGAACTTTCATCAAAAAAAAAAAAAAAAATGCATTTGTGACAATAGCTAAATGAAATTCTTAGGCAAGAAACAAAAATTGTGCAATTAACACAACTTGTGTTAATTGTACAATTATCATTATCATCATGTCAGCGAAGCAGCAATAAAATATTTACTACCATTTTGCACAACATACGTCTGCAACAGCGGATTTTCGGCCATGACAAACATGAAAACTAAACATCGTCATCAACTTCAACTCAAAGATGACTTGAGACTGAAGCTGACCAAAAAGCAACCAGATTTTACAAAGTTGTGCGAAGAAAATCGTGCACATTTGTCACATTAAAATTAAATAACCTTATGTTATTTTCATTATTATTAGAATTGTATTTTAAAGGTAATAAATGTAAAAAAAACTTACTCTATTTATCACTAACTGTCTACCCACAGCTTTGCCCGCATTATATCGAATTTTTTCGTGGGAGTAAGATATTTTCTTGCAGTAAAATGTAGCCTATGTCCATCTCCAACATGTAAGCTATCTCTGTGCCAAATTTTATTAAAACCTGTTCAGTGGGTTAGACGTGAAAAGATAACAGACAACAGACAGAATTACCTTCAAATTTATAATATTAGTATGGATTAATATGAATTTCTGCTATAAGGGGTAGGTGAGCTTGAGCTCTTTCTTGAAGTGGTACGCAGGAAAAACTAATTGGGAACCACTGGTATAGAATAAATTCCAGTCATATTGGATAGGTCATGAGTTACTTGTCATTTTGTAGTATTCTGAACACTGTTGGATTATATTCAGCCACTAGGGCAAAATTTGGTGCTACTGTTTCCTTAATTTTATTATGTAACTAGCTGCAAGGACCCACTTCACTGGGTTTTTATTTGTGGGCAAAAAGTAACGATAGTGAAGATTAAGATAATTACATTATAGCCAATCTTACCCGTTTTCACAGAATGCAAGAATTAGGTCCCCCGTTTCCAGACTAATTAGAGAATTTTTATGTCCAGTCAAATTAACTATTTTCAATTTGATCAATTTTCTGGAACGTTTACAATCGTTCTATAACTGAACCAATTTGAATTCCAATTCGAAAATTTTTAAAATCGAAATAGAAAATCTTCCACTTTCAAGCCCATATCTCCCACACCCTTATAGCTATCGAGACGCAACCACCATAGTGCACGAATGGAGACTTGGGGCTACTATCACATACAAACACCATTCACGTGCAATGTGTAGTTTTGGCTGAAAAGTGAAATATAGGGACACACACGTCCATTTTTATATATATAGATAAAAAATAAGATTTTATTGGAAAAAAGTTTTTTGTTGTAATGAAAACAGAGTCATTGTTATGGCTATAGAATGTTATGTTTTTGATGTTTGAAAAATGATAGGCTGTTTTGTTCTCTTTCTTTTGTGAAGTTTGAAAGCTATAAATATTAAATGTTAAGACTTGTTTCTCCATATTTATATTAGATTAAATACTGTATTACATGGAAATAATTGTATTTTTTAATACAAAAATAATAAAAGTTTTAATTTTTATGACTTTTTCATCATTAAGTAATTAGATAAATGTTTTTTTACAGGCACATCAATTTTACCTCCATCACTAGATTTTCTCAACAACTGTGCAAAAAGTGATAGTAGTTCTGATAGTAGAGAAGGTAGTCCTGAACCTGAATTATTTGATATGGCTTCATACAAAGAATATGCTTCAAAATCAGAACATGATAAATTTTATAAGCATGAAAATATTTCTTCATTAAGACAACCAACAAATAAATATAATCTTAACAGAAAAAGGAGTCATTCTAATAAAGAAGGTATGGAGTCAGAATCAGCTTCTGAAGAAAGTACATATAATATGCAATGCCACCAAAAACGAAGTAGAAGTAAAGAGGTATAGTAAAATAAAATTTTAAGCTCTGTAATTTGATTATAGTATTGATTAATTAAAAAATTAAAGTAGCATATTTCATTAAATTATAATTTAAATTAACTGTTCTAGAAATGCAATGAATTATTAATAAAATGAATTCTGTGATAATGTTTAAATATGTCTTATGTCAAAGTAACCAACCCATATTTAATATTCTCCATATGATTATTTCATTACAATATACATAAACAGACAATTTAGAAATTAATTATTTAAAACTGAAATTCTAACTGTTATTAATACAGAAATTTAATTAATATTTACATTTAAATACAAATGCAAGAATCATGAAATAAATTTCATGATTCTTGCAAAAATGCACTTGCAATCACAAAATAAGAAATTTTTTACTAAATCTGATTATAGCCACTTAATCCTATTAAAAATCTGTGAATAAATTTTTTAAAAAATATGTCACCAAAACCCAATTGCCATATGACATCGTGTCATCATAATGAAAGAGCTACAGAATATCATTAATAGAATACCAAAGAGATGTGTTTTGGTATGAAAAAACTATGGTTATTTAATTAAATATTAGTTCTGTTGAAACTACTGTACTTAATTCATTGGGCTTCAGTTTTCCATTATATAATTTTAATTTCACTAAAGTTATGCCAATAAAAAAATGTGGCTTTTTACATACATGTATTCTGCTTTTAATATCCAGATGCATAATAACTGTAGTTCTGTGTAAGATAGTTCAGTTTTGCAAAAAATCTTAAATACGCATCAAATTATTTTTCCAGCAGTATGCTATATATACTTATACCTGAAACATAATATTGGACCCTGGTCATCACATCGTAGTTGATGTTAAATTTCTCTAGTTAAATTAGAGATTATTCTTTTAAATATAAATGGAAGTAATTTATTAATCTTTGAAACAAACTTTTGAACATTTTATTAGTTAATGTAATCAAATTCCTCATAAGCTTATTAACAGTAATAACAAAAGCAAAAGAAAAACTAAAGATAAAGATTGCAGAGAATTTTAAAAAATTTAATACAAAAATAATAAAAGTTTTAATTTTTATGACTTTTTCATCATTAAGTAATTAGATAAATGTTTTTTTACAGGCACATCAATTTTACCTCCATCACTAGATTTTCTCAACAACTGTGCAAAAAGTGATAGTAGTTCTGATAGTAGAGAAGGTAGTCCTGAACCTGAATTATTTGATATGGCTTCATACAAAGAATATGCTTCAAAATCAGAACATGATAAATTTTATAAGCATGAAAATATTTCTTCATTAAGACAACCAACAAATAAATATAATCTTAACAGAAAAAGGAGTCATTCTAATAAAGAAGGTATGGAGTCAGAATCAGCTTCTGAAGAAAGTACATATAATATGCAATGCCACCAAAAACGAAGTAGAAGTAAAGAGGTATAGTAAAATAAAATTTTAAGCTCTGTAATTTGATTATAGTATTGATTAATAAAAAAATTAAAGTAGCATATTTCATTAAATTATAATTTAAATTAACTGTTCTAGAAATGCAATGAATTATTAATAAAATGAATTCTGTGATAATGTTNTGCTTTTACGTTCTCTCTCTCTCTCTCTCTCTCTCTCTGTGTGTGTGTGTGTGTGTGTGAGAAAGTTATATATTGAAGAAAGTTAACTAAATTAAATAGTATAAAAACATATTAATATAAGAAAGTATTGTTTAGATTTTTATGGTGTTTTTCTGCTGTTTCTGTATTTCTGTATTCTTTTTCTATAGCTAATTTGAGATAAATACTAAAATTTGATGACTATTTTTGTTTTAATAATAATAATTTTTAATACAAATTTCAGGTGCTTAATAATAGAAAAAGAAAATTTTTGAGTGATGACTCTGAATTTCAAAAACATAAGCAAACTGCACCTCCAGGACGATTAAGATTATTACAACCCAATAATAACATTAATGGGAAATCAAAACAGTTAGCATCTGTAAGTGCTCTTAAAGAAAAATATAAACAACAGCGTCTTGCAAAACAAAGGACTAAAACATTCCATAATCAGAAAGAAAATTTATCTCACAATTCAAAACCTGCAATTACTTTAAGAACTCAGAATATTAATCAGAATTCTAATTCCTCAGTAAAAAGAACTGTTGAAAATTTAATTAATGTCAGACAGACAAGAAGTGCATGCTCTGCAAGCAATAAAACTCCTGTAGAAAACAAAAGACTCTTAAGGTCATCAAAAATTCATCAAGAATTGTCTCTTCCTGTAACACGAACAGCCACACAACAAAATTCTACCACACCATGGTTAAGAAAAGCCAAACTTGTTCCTCCAATTTTAGATTTTGATTCTGATAGTGATACTGATTCTAATAGTAGTATTACAATTAAAAAGGTACCACAAAAACAAAGAACTGAAAGATCTAGAATAAGTCTAAGGAAAGACAGTAATAATTCATCTAAACAAATAAAAAATATACAAGTAAAAAATAAAACTATGTCCCACATGTCTATCAGAAAAGCAGCATTACTTAGTACTGCAGAACATTCCTATGTAAAACTGCCACCACCTGAAAAAATTACACAATCAAAAACTCAGTTAACTAAGAAGTATAAAACTGTAGTAAAAAAGAAATTTGTTCAACCTGTCAGGCAAGTTCATGATACCCTAGGAAGAACTAGATCATCTAAATTATGTAAAACACAAATATCAAAACCCATGACACGCAGTGCTAGATTAAAAGAAATGATTATTAATGAAGCTAAATTGGAAAAGAAAAATGAAAAGCGAATGGACTGTAAAGTTTCAAAATCTAAACTTGAAGGTAAAGTTAATATTGATGCCAAAAAGGTTACAAGAGGAAGAAACAAGAAAATTTTGAACCAAGAAAAATTAAATTTGAAAGAATTAACTAATGAAGGAAAGCTAACAGATCAAGTAAAACAAAAAGTATCTATGTTAAAAAATAAAGAAATAAATCAAATAATAGAAACTAATAAATTAAGAAAATATGATGACAACTCAAAATGCTTAATTAAAGAAAAAGAAAAAAGTAAATCTGAAAAGCAGAATCAAGAGAAAGAAAAATGTGATAAATTTAATAACTTTAATAAATTAAAACAGTTTGATTCATCCAAAGAAAAATCAATGAAAAAAGATGGTAAATCAAGAGATTTAGAAAGAATTAGTTCAGAAGATCATAAATATACATGTAAAAATTCCTATGGAATTGTGGGTAAAAAAGAAAAGTTTAACAAGAAAGATAAACAAAATAATTATCCTAATGAAGATCAAAGTCAATATTCAAAATCAGATAAAGATTACCAGTTAGCATTAAGAAAGAAAAAGAATAGCGGAGAACAGTATGCATTTAATGATTTTGAAAAATTAATGGAGGATGAAGGATTTATTTCAAAAGAAAATTTAGAATTTAATGATTCAGCAAATAAATCAAAGAAATTTAATAAATCAGGTTATTTATATCAGAGAGAATTATCCTCAAAAAAGTCAAGCAAAAAAGTTCTATCAAAACTTCTAAATAAATACTCAAAGAATAAAGGTTTACAAAAAAAGACTCTTGATCAGTTAGAAACAGATGAAATGTCGGATGAATATAATTTTAAAAAATCTGATAGTGATAACAGTAGTGAAACAGTGATATCTGATTCTAAAGATAAAGCATTGAATGATGATAGTGACTCTTCAACCAAAGAACTCAATCAATCAGAAGAAGCAATTGAAAATTCTTCTTTAAATAATAGATGTGAAACAAATTCAACAGCATTAACTTCTTCTGTTGGACAACCTACAACAGAGTGTCCAAATGATGAAACAGAAACATCTTATATTATTGAAGACATGTCAGATGGAGTAGCAACATTTGATGCTATTTCTAATGAAATGGCTCAAACATTACCAAGTGATCTGGTTTTTGGAAGTGCCGAAGAAATTCAGAGTTTGATGACAAGTGAATTTTCTGGTGTTTTTGATGAAGCATTTACAGCGGGTGCTATTTTGTTGACAACGAGGGACACACTTGCCCAAGTTCCTTTACATTTTATTCAGGAATTAACGCCAACTAAAACAATGGCAGATGCTGCAACAAATACTTGTGAAGAAGATCTTTTAGCTTGTATGAATGAAGGTCCTCTTAGAAGTGAAGAAACTTCAGTTGGAACACAAACAATGACACCAGTAGGATCTCCTTTACCAGTTACAACTGATGCCATAGTTCCTGAAGTTTCTACTGATTCTAGTCCTAAAGAATCTGGAAAAACAAAAGTAAAAAATATGCCAAAAGCAATAACTTCTCCAGGAACAACTTCTACATCATTACCAAGAAGAAGAAGTAGAACTACATCTTTCAGTAAAAAACTCAAACTAGATGATAATTCACCTGGAAAAGATTCAACAACTTCCATTCAAGACAACCCCAAAATATTAAATGCACCTGTTTTTTATCCATCTCAAGAAGATTTTCTTGATCCTTTGGAATATATTAAGAAAATTCAGCCAGAAGCAGAAAAATTTGGAATATGTAAAATAGTACCGCCAGCTCAATTTAAGGTATTTAGATAGTTTTACTATTTGAATGATTAGCAATAATACAAAAAATATATGCATTTCAAGCATATCCTGATTATATAAATTATTGATAATTTGCTATCTTAATAGTAGTTTAAATTTGATTTTTTTAATATTTGAATAGTAAAAACAATAATATTTTAATAATTTTTTCTAAAATTATTAATAGCAAAATAAATAGATGATTGATGATTATTACTTCCAATAACTTTTTATAATGTTCAATATGATTCAATAATTATGTATTATTTTTAATTTTAAAAAATAATTTAAAAATTAAAATTGTAGCAATTTAAAATTGATAATATCAGTATTTTATTTTTCTGCAATTTAGTTATTTTCTTATACAAGGTTGTTCAAAAGTAATGCATCTGAAGATGCTTACATACATACATCCTATGCATGTATGTAAGCATCTTTGGATATTACCATACATACATGCATGGTATGTATGTATGGTACAATATGGGGTGCTGGCAGGGAAAACATGTAATTTACAGTGTAAATTGTTGTAATATGTAATCATCAAGGTATATCATACAGTTATTATTAATTATTTAATAAATGTATAACTTAAAAAATTATTGTATTTAACCATTTTATTACAGTACGATACACAAACTAATATTTGGCATTGTGAATTCAATCATTCTACATTTGTACAACAACAACAACTACAACTATTGAAAGTAAACATAACATTTTCTACTGTATATGTAAATCATTGTGACATTAAATTATGATAATTTACACCATAAATTACATGCTATATATGGAAGCATCTTCTGGTGCATTACTTTTGAAGAATACTGTATAATGTTATAAAATATTTTAAATATTCAAACTTATGATTTATACATTAAATACACAAAGGCAGTTTTTTTCAACCTCTGATGGTTCATAAAACAAAGACAAGTGTAAATAACAAAATGAATTTATTACCATAAGTTAGGTACAAACATGGTTACTTTTCAACATAATCACTATGAAGATTGAGGCATTTGTCTATCTGTGGACAAGCTTTGAAATCCCCTTTTCATAGAATATTGCCACCAGTGATTGAGATGGTCCTTAACATTGTTTTGAAGATCGTCATTAGTCTCAAACTTCTGCCCTGCTAGCCAAATTTTCAGTTCAGGAAAGAGGTGGAAGTCTTCATACATTAAAGGTGTGAAGACTGTCACCTTTCAACTTCCACCTAACTTGGAACTTTTTAAACACCCAGTGTACAGCCCTGATTTAGTGCCCAAGCAATTTCCACATCTTTCCTGAACTAAAAATGTGGCTAGGAGGGCAGAGGTTTGAGACTAATGACGATCTTCAAAACAATGTTAAGGCCCATCTCAATCACTGGTGGCAACATTCTATGAAGAGAGGATTTCAAAGCTCGTCCACAGATAGACAAATGCCTCAATCTTCACAGTGATTATGTTGAAACGTAACCATGTTTGTACCTAACTTATGGTAATGTTATTTACACTTGTCTTTGTTTTATGGACCATCAGAGGTTTAAAAAAAACGGCCTACATATATTGAGTTTATGAATAATGATGATGATGTAAGCAAAACAAATATTTTTATTTTGTATAAAAAATTGATTACTTGTAAAAATATTTTATTTATTATATTTGTTAATTATAAAAAAAAATCATCAGTTAAATATAAACTAGAATATAACAGATTTTGAATTAGAATAAATTTTTATCAATTTTTAAAAATTGAAGATAATCATGCAAACAAATATTTAAAATTGCAGTTTTAAATTTTTTAAAATTATTTTATTCATTAATTAACAACAGTGATTATTGTGAAAAAGTGAAAATTTTATTAAAATTGTAAGACTGTTTGGAAACTATTTTATCATTGACCTCTCTGTTCTAGATAAAAATTTGATAGAGTCTGACTTTATTTTGTTTAATATTTTTTAGCTCTGTTTATTTAATAGTATTATAGTTTGAAGTTTGATTGGTTTACTCTTAGTTTTTTTTTTTTTTTTT